AGTCTGCGTTCCTGGACATGATTCTGGGTGCCCTCCCTCCTCGGGTCGCGTCTTCGGTTTGGCCCCATTGGTGGTTGGAATTATGACGACTTGCGAATGCTGCCCAGCCTGGCCCTACCGCGAAGCGGGTACCCATCATTTTCACATGTCGTCGAGCCCCACCAGGACTGGCCTACTGATCGCAGAGCGGCCCAGGGGGCCCATCGTCAGTGCCGCTCGTCATGCTCGGATTATATTAACCTGCGTCAGGGCCCGCTCCGGGCGTCCGTCCTTCGGCTGCCGCGTCCTGGCCTGTCTGGAATCTCGGGGAACCTTCGGAGCACTGCCCTGTGCTTGTTTCCCGAACTCCTGGGCGTCCTCGCCTTGCCGCCGCCGATGGTTCCCCGGTGAGACCAGGGTCCTGTCCCGGATCGTTCAGGAGACTTTGCGCTCCGCGCTGCGTGGGGGGATGTGCCGTGGGTCCTGGTGTCTTCCATGGAGTTACCTAGTTTGCGAACCTTTTCTCGGAGCTCAGAGCCGCGCGTGCACTGATGTCCAGAGCTGGGGCGATAATGAATGGTTCCGCGATGGCATGGGGAATTGCGCTAAGTCTAATCTCGAGGATGCGAAACAGGGGCCCCAACGCCCCGGCGCGGTATCCGACTGTTTCAGGCAGCGCGGGCCTGCTGAGCTGCAGTTGCCAATCGATTACTGGTCTCCTCTCGCCGTCGCTTTCTCATGCGCGCCGTTCGTGGCGAGGGTGGTTGGGCTCGTGCTGGGCCTGCCAAATGCGCTCGGCTGGTGCGCCAGCTCCGCGGTAGAGCTCGCGCCCGATCTTCTCCTGCCCCCGCCTCTTTCGAGCGTGGTCGCGAGTTTGTTTAAGCTGCTGGTGCTTCGATCACTTGGCAAAGGTCAGGGCCGATTTTACGAGATGGTCTTGAGGTTTCGTGGCGCTGCCCCTGGGCCCGACGGTGCCCCGCGCGCTGCGCGTGCTATTGCTGATTTGATTTGGGCTTCCACTCTGTGGAATATCTGCGAGGACCTCTCGGGCCACTGCCAGTTGCCTCTGAGTTCTGCCGGGGCCGCCCCCGAAAAAATGGGTCCTTCCCCCGGGGCCCGCACGAGGGCCCCTGCTGAGGCCCGCTCGCTATTCTCTGCGCGACTCGCCCAACAAGATCATCTTTCCTGTCTTGGGATCTCCGATGGCAAATCTGGCCATGCTCTCTGCCATGCTGGAGCAGCCTGGCTGCGTGGGAGGCCGCCAGATTAGTGGGGGCGCCGTTTCTGCCGACTCCCAGCCTCGCAGTGTGGGCGCCGTCTTGGGCAGCGGGTATGCTGGCGCGGCGCTGTTGGAATCCCGCGCCGTCTGTCCGCGTCCAGCCCGCGCTTCTATCTGGCGGGTCTTCGAGGCCACGCGGGCCCCCCTTCGTCGTCAGAGCCCTGAGGGCCGCAGTTCCTGATGTGGTTCTTTGGATTGAATTCGGTGGGCCACCCATGGCGGGTGCAATGTGCGGCGGGGAGTCTAGAGGGGGCGCCCCGTGTCGGGCAGCATGCTCGCGCTCTCCTTCGACCCCGCCCGTTGCATCGCGCGCTCGCTTCCTGCCCCGCTGTCCTGCCCCTTCTTCTTCGCCGGCGATCATTTCTACTCTTTCAACGGCGTCTCCGCTCCCCGCCCTCCATGCGTGCTGATGCTCAACGTCGACCAGTGTCCAGTGTGTAGTTGTGCTTTATTGCTTTTTGCTCACCCTGGCGAGCCTCTCGGCGTGCTCCGTGAGAAGGGCCCTCGCATGTACTGGACAAGGAAGATTTAAAGCTTTCGGAGCAGGCACTGTGAGCATCGGTGCGTATCTCGGGATCTCCCAGGGCTCGGGGGATTTAAAGTTTTCCGTCGAGGAACCAGGTCAGAGACATCGAGATTGCGCTCGTCGCGCCATGAGCTTACTTCAGTGGTTTGTTCGCCAAGTCGTTGCTTGTTAAGTGATTGCCCTGTCTGTTGCCCCTCTCCCACCCGTGCCGGTGCTACCCCGTGGCTCAGCAGATGTAGCAGCCAGAAAAATTCCGCCTTCTCTCACGTATTGACACGTTGTTTACGGCGGGCCGCTCCCCGTCTTTTCCAAACCTGATTGCGTCGGCGCCAGGGTGCGTGCTCGTAGCCTCGAGATGACGAGCCGCGCCGCCGTGCGCCGCGTTCCTGTTGCCTCATGTTCTGTCCGCCTGGCTGAGCAGGCACTTGAAGAGTTGTTGGGCGCGGGTGGCAATCTGCTGGCTTGCGAGGTCCGCAAGTGTGTTAGCTGTGTTCATGATAAAACGCATCGCGTCTTCATGAAGAACCTTCCCAGGATTTATATTGCTACTGCCGCCATTCGGATTCCGCGTCTGAGATGCGGCGCCCCTATCATTAAGGCCCAGGATATGTTTGGAGTTGTGAGAAGTAGTTGGGCTTCTAGGGTAGCCCCTGGATGTATTCTCGTTACTTCTGTATCGTAATTATGGTGAACCCACCATCCAGCGGTTGAAATAAGGCTTGCATCGGTGCGGCGACCATTTCCCTGTATCTTAGGTGCCCCTCTATCCCCCCGCTAATTCGGGTTGTGCTTCCCCGCGTGCCCCCCCAATGGTTTGAAAAGTGCCCGCTTGCGTGTTTCGTCTGTCGTCCCATTTCTGATGCGAATGCTGCCTGGGTGATCTCAGCAGCTGTGGCCATTGGCGCGATTTTTTCCCGTCTTCAATGGCCGCCGCTCCACGGGGGAAGGGCGGGCGACGATCTGCTCGCGATTTCGCGCGCGGTCGGGCGCGGGCCATCGGCCCCCTCCCCGCGCATCCGCGAGCTCACTTTTGTCGCGCCCAGTGCCGCCATCAGAGGATAATCGCTGTCACCTGCTTTCGTTTTGTTTCGAATTCTTAGCCGCCCGCCTTGTTTCTTCTAGGGTGGGCTGGGCTCATCGTCCTGCTCCTACTCGCTTATTAGGGAAGCTATTCATCATGAGCGCTGACGACTAGGGCGTTTCGGAGCGGGCCCCCCCTCCCCCCCGTAGGCCCTTAGCACGGCAGCCCTCGGCTTGGTCGTGCATGGGAGCTTTCCGGGCTTCTCCCCGGTGTGCAATTCATTTTACCTATCCAGATCGGGATAACATCCCCGTTCCTACAAGCTCAGCAGGGGGAGGTCACTTTTGGCCACTTACTCCGATTCTGAGTGTCTCCCCGTATGAAATCACAATAACAGCCGCTCCCGTGCCACTTCTCACCAGAGCGCCCAGACGTGCTAATTCCAGCCAAGATGAATCAATGTCCGTAACGGGGATGAGGAACCACGTTTCTTCGACATGCCAGTTCGAGCCGCTGTCACGAGGGGCCCAGATTCGACGTCCGATCGGGGGCCCAGCGTCGCGCTCGACGGATGAATTGTCGTCATTATCGTTGTCATCGCTGCTTCGTGGCGACGGTTTACTGCGTGTCAGAGTTGCCCCGTTTTCGAGTCCTGACTTGGGTGAGATGGCCTGCCGGGCGCGCGCGAGGTGGGCGGTTGAGTCTTCGAAGTCGCAGGTCGTGGCGGGCAACTATGCCGAGGGTCTGCGGGGCGCGTGCGTGCGCGCGGTGGCGGCCGCAGGCGTCGCTGGCCAGGGGTAGCGCTGGTCTCGGCCTCGAAAAAGTGCTATGTGAGACGCCGCTTGCCCGTTGAGAAAGTTCTTCATCTTGAGCATTGACGACTGGCGCGTTTCCGAGTGGGGCCCCCCTTTTCCCCCGTGGACTCTTAGATCGGCAGCCTTTGACTTGGTTGGGCGGGGGGGCATTCTGGGCTTCTCCCGGGTGTGCGACTGATCGCTATGGCCCATTCGGGATAGCATCTCCCCCACGAACTCACCGGGGGGAGGTCGCTCCCGGCCACTTCCGCGCCATTCTGAGTTCCCTCCCGTATGAAACCACAGTTGCAAGGATCCCCCGTGCGACTTTTCACCGCAGCGCCCAGACATGTCAATCTCAGCCAAAGATGAATCCACTTTCGTAGCGGGGACGAGGAGCCACGATTCTTTGACATGCCAGTTTCAGCAGCTGTCATGAGGGGCCCAGATTCGACGTCCGACCGGGGCCCAGCATCGCGCTCGACGGATACGTCGTCGTCGTTATCGTTGTCATCGTTGTCATCGCTTCTCGTTGCGACGATTTACCGCGCGTCAGAGTCGCCCCGATTCGAGCCCTGCCCTGGGCAAGATGGCCTTGCAGGCGCGCATGATTAAGTCTTCGAAGTCGCAGACCGTGGCGGGCAGCTATGCCGCGGGTCTGCGGGGCACGTGCAAGCGCGCGGTGGCGGCCGCAGGCGCTGCTGGCCAGGGGTAGTTCTGGTCTCTGCCTCGAAGAAGTCTATGTGAGATACTGCTTGCCCGTTAAGAGAGTTCTTCATCTTGAACCTTGACGACTAGGGCGTTTCCGAGCGGGCCCCCCTTTTCACCCGTAGACGCCTAGCACGGCAGCTTTCGGCCTGGTTGGGTGGGGTGGCTTTCCGGGCTTTCCCTGGTGTGCAATGAATAGAATATAACCATGTCGAGATCCCATTTCCCCCCATAAAAATTCACCAGGGGGAAGTCACTGCCAGCCACTTCCATGCAATTCTGAATGTCTCCCCGTATGAGATAACATAAACCGTTCCCATTCGAATTCTCACCGCAGCGCCCAGACGTGCCAATTTTGACCAAGATGACTAAACTTTCGTAACTGGGATGTATATCGTCCTTTTCATTTCCCTCCTTCTTCCCCTTGTCCTGCTGTTCTTCTTAATCGTCGTCTCCTTGTCCTCCCCCCCCCGCCCCCCGTCGACAGCTCTGTCGGGCCCCCAGTGAAGTGGCAGCGCGAAGACGGTGGACAAGGAGGAAAAATGTGGATGACCGCCGAAAAAATGGCTCTGGAAACCGATCGGAATGTTGGACAAAGAGGTTGCGCCCAGAAGGATTGCGGACTCTGCCGCTGGCGCCCAAGCTCAGCCACATTGTGGTTATGTATGATCAGTTTTCGGGCATTGCGAGGCCATGCCAGGGATGGCTCTGCCGGGGCACCTCCGGGACATTTTGGTCAGTCCTGGAACTATCGTGGGGCTTCGGTGATGTGCTTGAAGAACACTACACAACTGACAAAGGACCCCACAAAGAAAATTACCCAGCGATATCATACAGCCCTTTCCGTCAGGGGAGCGAGGTCGGCGAATTCGGATGCGCATCTTTGCCAGTGTGGACTCCCAACGGTGGTTTATTGCGTTCTAGATGTGTAAGTTACGTGGTGCAATCAGTTCAGTGTTGGGCATGTTCCATGATGCAATCGATGCTGCTGTGCAGGCTGCTATGTGCAACGCGTTCGGCAGAGCCATGCGGGGCAAACCGAGCGGTCCAATTGAAGTCGTGCGACGTACGCGGTGATATTATGTGATGCGCGCGGTGTGATGCAAACTATCTGGCGTAAACTTTACTGTGCGTTCAATGTTGGCGACGACCAGGCGAAGCCCCAGGGGGTCCAGCCAGCGCTCGAGGCGCCCGCGAGACGCCCACCGTCGGCGACCAGACGAAAACTTGAGGAACCCTCCCAGTGATTTCGAAAGAAAAGGTGAACTTTTCAGCGCAAGCACGTGTGGGATAATGGGCATGTGCGCACATGTGATATGTATATGCGGCGGCGCATGAGTAGGTTTATGCACTCATTTTTTCTCTTTCATAATTTTGTTCCAGGTGATATATATATATATATATGCACCTATACGACCACCCTTCGGGTGATAAAGGGGGTTCGGGGGGGAACCAACGCTTCATTCGATCGGTCTCACTATCCATCTCACTATCGGTCTCGCTCGATCGATCTCACTCGATCGATCTCACAATCGATCCCACTCGATATATCTCATTCGCTCGGTCTCACAATTGATCTGGTTATCGATCTATCAATCGATCTCACATTCGGTCCCAGTATCGATCTCACTACCGATATCATACTCGACCTAACATTCAACGTCATCATCATCATCATCAGCACCAACACCACCATTTTCATCGTCATCGGGACACCGTCGTCATCGTCATCATCATCGTCATCAGCACCAACGCCATCATCATCAGGCCATCATCATCTTCATCCCCATCATCATCTCATCATGGTCAGCAACATCATCATCATCATCGGCACACAGCCTTCGTCATCATCACCATCAACATCATCATCATCATCGGGACACCATCATGGTCACCATCATTGTCATCGTCAACATCATCAACAACATCGGGATCCCATCATCATCATCATCAGTTAATCATCATCATTTAATCATCACCATCATAATCAACAGCGTCATCATCATCTTAATCCACATCATCAGCAGCATCATCGTCACCAATATCATCATCAACATCATCATCGGTACACCATCACCATCACCATCATCATCACCACCGTCATAATCATCATCATCGGGATACCATAATCATCATCAGCAACATTATCGTTACCAACATCATCATCAACAACAACGGGCAGAGACATCAACATCATCGTCATTTCATGATCATCAACAACATCATCAACATCACCAGCGGGACACAGCCATCGTCAACATCACCATCAGAATCATCATCATCATCATCGGGACACCATCATGGTCATCATGGCT